GGGCCCTCCAGTGTCCCAAGCCAGCTCTTAACCAACACGCCACACTGCTGGCCCTACTTTTAGTTTTAAAGTGTCACATTTTGATACCCATTTTATGTTCCACATGTGCTTATGGACAATCTGGTTGGTTTAGTCTCTTTCAGCGTCTTGATTCAAAATCAAAGGATATATCAAAAGTAGCAGCAGATATCACCCAGGCAGTGTCTCTCGCCCAAGGAATTGAGAGAAAAAAGGTGATCCAGCATATCAGAGGAATGTATAAAGTAGATCTGAGTGCCAGCCGACACTGGCAGGAACTTATTCAGCAGCTGACACACGATCGGTAAGCAGAGTGCGAGGACGTTGCAGGTCATCTTGCATGAATATTTTATATATTGATATTAAATCCTTCTTTATTCTGGAGTAAAGATTCATAGCATTATTTCATTCGTTTAAATTTTTTAATCATTTGTGATTTATTTCATCTTGAAAAATAATCCTATGAGAATATATATATTTTTTTAATTCTCAGGGCAGGGAAAAGTAGAGACAGAGGTTTTAGCTCTTCCAGATGGTAAAATCTGTATATTGGCTTGAATTTTAAAAGACTAAAGAAATCACTGAAATAGGATAGCTGGGAAGTAGATCTTTTTGTAGCCATGATTTTAATAATATAATTTAGAAGCTGCATCACAAATAATGAAAAGAGGGAAATTAAAAGTATTCTCTAAATTTGGTTAAGATAACTATTAGATTATTTTTAATATATTTTTCAGTTACAGTCAATACATACAATATTATATTAGTTTCAGGTGTGCAACATAGCAATTAGACATTTATATACCTTACAAAGTGAGGTACTCCATCTGGAACCACACATAGTTATTACGATTCCATTGACTATATTCCCTAAGCTAGACTTTACATCCCCATGACTGTTTTTAAAATTCGCAATTTGTACTTCTTAACCCCTTTCACTTTTTTTGGCCCAGCCCCCACTCCCCTCCCATCTGGCAACTATCAGTTTGTTCTCTGTATGAATTTGTTTCTGCTTTGTTTGTTCATTTATTATGTTTTTTAGATTCCACATATAAGTGAAATTATACAATACCGGTATTTGTCTTTGTCTGACTTCTTTCACTTGGCATATAATACCCTCTAGGTCCATCTATGTTGTCACAAATGGCAATATTTCACTCCTTTTTTATGGCTAATACTCCATTGTGTATATGTGCCACATCTTCTTTATCCATTCATCTGCCAATAGACACTTAGGTTGCCGCCATATCTTAGCTATTATAAATAATGCTGCAATGAATATAGGGGTGCATATATCTTTCGAATTAGTGTTTTTTATTTCTTTGGATAATTACCCAGATGTAGAATTTCTGGGTCTCATGGTAGTTCAATTTTTAATTTTTTGAGGAACCTCCATAATGTTTTCCAATGTGGTTGCACCAGTTTACAGTCCCACCATCAGTGCCTGAGGGTTCCCTTTTCTCTACATCCTCAACAACACTTGTTTGTTGACTTGTTGATAATAGCCATTCTGACTGGTGTGAGGTGGTATCTCACTGTGGTTTTGATTTGCATTTCCCTGATGATTAATGATGCTGAGCATCTTTTCATGAGTCTGTTGGCCATAAAATAAGTGACTAGTGCATTTTTGGGGTGCTAAAACACCCTAATTATTATACACTAAAGCAAATTCCAGGTGAATGAAAGAATTAAACTCAAAAAGTTTATGAAGTAGGAGAAAACGGTATTTTATCAACTCATTGATGGATGGATAACTTTCCAAGATCAAACACAATAGAAGAAACTACAAAGAGGAAATAAATAGATTTGAACTTTATTTTTTCCAGTGTGTTTAACAACTATAGCAAGCATAACAAAATATAAAAATTTATTTTCAGCAAATATATTAGAGTTAATATTTTTATAATTTTAAAAATTCATAAAGATTTGAAAGGAAAATATTAACATCCCAAAAGTTTGAATGAGCAAAATACATGAATACACTCTTAAGACAAACAGACGTAATAAACAGATAGGAAACTACTCAATATTGCTAGAGGCTAATTTGCTTTTTAAAAACCTTTGGATACCATATTTTACCTTTTATGTTACAAAAATAATTTTTAGGTGCCATCCACAGCAGGAAGAAACATGTCTTAGTCCTTGGTCAGAGGTTTGGTGATTTTTGTACTTTGGCATTATATGTCAGGAACCCTACAAACATTTTATTTCTAGCTCCAGTTATCCTATTTTAGTGTTTCTATCCTAAGGAAAATATTCAAAATATGGAAAGGCAATAAAGGTTTTTATCTCTGCATTATTTATGCTAGTGAATGAATTAGAAACAACTTAAATATGCGTATAATGATAGTAATAGAGTTAAATACATTATGATGCATCTACTCAATGCAATATTTGTCAGCCACTTAAAATGATAATTAAGATTATAATGTGTTCAGTGAAAGAAGGTAGAATATTGGGATGTGTGTACATAATAATTATAACTGTAATTTTAAAAAATGAAAGAAAATAACTACTACCAGTATTTTGATATGTTTAGGGTAGCAGGATTAAGGCCGATTTTTTTCTTCTCGTATCTATTTCTAAAAATGTATTTAACATGTTTCTACTATTTCATTTAAAACATTAATTTATTATTAAATCTTTTAAGAAATGTGATTTATACTACAAAAATAAATGAATTTTGTTTGTTACATTAGATAGTAAGCAAAATGGGAAATGTAAAAAGTTAATTTGGAAAATGGATTTTTTTCTTTAACTATGTTAAGCTCACTGTAGTGCTAATGCGTTCATAGTAGTCATCTATATATATTAAAGTTTTTAATAGATACGAGAAATTGGTAGCAGAGCTTGCCTTTAGGCAGGGAACTGGGAGACTTATTTTTTTAAAATTATTCTTTTGTACTATGTGTGTGCATTTCCTAGTCTCATTATATAAATAGTTGGGGTTTTTAATTGAATAGATTAATTTTGATTTGTTCAGTTTCTACAGTGATTTTTTTTAAAGCCGCATGTACTTCCGATTGACACTTAAAACATATTTTCTCTTGACTTGCAGAGCAGTGTGGTATGACCCCATCTACTATCCAACTTCATGGCAGCTGGATCCAACCGAAGGGCCAGATCGCGAGAGGAGGCGTTTACAGAGGTGTTACTTAACTATTCCAAACAAGTATCTCCTGCGGGACAGACAGAAATCAGAAGGTACTGCCAGCTTCCTGACTCGATATCTAAATAGATCAGACAACTGTGGTCATTGGATAAGATAATATGTACTCTTTTCCTCAACAGACTTGGTCAAACCACCACTCTCTTATCTCTTTGAAGACAAAACTCATTCTTCTTTCTCTTCTACTGTAAAAGACAAAGCTGCAAGTGAGTCTATAAGGTAACTGAATCCATAAGACGTTTTCTCTTCTGTTAAAGGAGTTAAAGATTTTCACAGTCTGTTGTAGTGCTTGTGTAGTATTTATTTTAAACAATGCTGTGGTTTTAGGAGAAGCCCTAAACATGGTTCAGAAAGGACAAGTTGAATGGCCAAAATCCAAAAGGAAAAGACATTTCTGACAGGAAGGATTCACTGGACCCAGGCACCATGCTCTGGTCCGTGTCTGCATCCATTTTTCTGGAGTTGACATTTCTAACAGCTCATAGCGCGACTGGTGGCGTCAAGATGTAATCCAATGTAGTGATTAAAGGTTCAGATTCTGGGCCTCCTCTTACTAAGCTGTCTGATCTTGGGCAAGTTACTTACCCTGTCAGCTTCCTTAACTGTTACACAAGGGAGGAAGATAGTTAACACCCAAGGTGTCAAAGCATTGTCCAGTAGCAAATGGGTCTCTTATTATCATGCTCATTTCACAGATGAAAAACTGAGATTCAAAAAACCATAAGTGACTTGACTTAAAGTCACTTATGAAGAATAGAGGAACTTTTCTGACTAACTCTCCTGTTTTTCCTAGAATACTACGCTTCTTTTATGCGTTTGAAGTATCAGAGGCATGAACCAATGTTTGCTTATTTTATTGGAAAATGTAAAATATTGCAGTCCCTTTTAAATAACTGAACCAGTGTATTCTGCATATGGAGCATAGCTGTTATTAGCCTTTTCTAAAAGTTTCAGTCATTTTCTCCTTTTCTAGAATCTTAAAAAATGAAATCATATTTTCACGTGGGTTTTGATATCTTGTGCTTGAAACTCTAGTCCGCTTTGCTGAAATCTTTTACTAGATAAGATAAAGCTTATACTTGCTAAAATCGGTCAAAACATTTAACCATAGTAATTTTAAATATGTTTTGACAGAGTGAATCGGAGATGTATCAGCGTTGCACCATCTAGAGAGACAGCTGGTGAATTGTTGTTAGGTAAGTCACATTTGGAACAGCTTTACACATATCCACCCTGCCTTATTTTATTCTTAGATAGTTTGAAGCACTGTTTTGACATACTGCCATTAAATGAGATAAAGTTTCTCTAAAATCACATAGGTTGTTTTGCCTTAACGTTATATATAATGCATATGACTCATGAAAGTGAAGAAATGACAGTCCT